TCACAGTCTTCTTTTGCAACTCTCAGTGAACAGAAATAGGTCAGTGCCTTAACTTTTCAACCTAAGGAGTACACCCAAGGACGTGTATAGAATTTCCATAAATTTTGGAGTTCCTTAAATTTACTTTGTTAGTGGCTGTTACATCGGAAAACAAAATCAGCAAATTCAATTATACGAGATATGGGCTTAAAACGCACACAGGTTCATTGGAAAATCTTCAGCATCGCCAGTACATAAAACAAAAAATGCTTGATATTTACTCTGATATGTTGTGAGACGAGAAGACTTATCCGACGTCTGCAGATATTAAAACCTCTAGCTTTTGCATTCCACCAGGTCTCGTGTCGGAACCTGCTGTCGTGTGCATTCAGTTCGCAATGGAATTCTTAAAAGTAACACAAACACACACTTATTTAAATGTGTGTGCGTGTGTGTGAATCTGTTTCTTTCTCTCTCTCTCTCTCTCTCTCTCTCTCTCTCTCTCTCTCTCTCTCTCTCTCTCTCTCTCTCTCTCTCTCTCTCTCTCTCTCTCTCTCTCTCTCTCTCTCTCTCTCTCTCTCTCTCTCTCTCTCTCTCTCTCTCTCTCTCTCTCTCTCTATATATATATATATATATATATATATATATATATATATATATTATATATCTATATCTATCTATCTATCTATCTATATATCTATCTATATCTATATATATATATATATATATATATATATATATATATATATATATAATATATATATATATATATATATATATATATATATATAATATATATATATATATATATATATAATATATATATATATATATATATATATATATATATATATAATATATATATATATATATATATATATAATATATATATGTGGTGTGTGTGTGTGTGTGTGTGTGTGTGTGTGTGTGTGTGTGTGTGTGTGTGTGTGTCAAATGTTCTCTCACATTTAACGAACGTGACAAGGTCCCCTAAACGTAATATTTATTCCTCAATAGGCAGCGGCGCCTCCTCCCCTCCCTCCGATGCCGCCTCTCACACGGGGCCTTTCCCTTCGAGGCAATATATTCCGAGGCGAACTGACCCCCGCTGGCGAAAGTAATTAAGTGGAGGAATCAGACGGCGTAACTAAGGTGTTGTTCTCTTGGAGGGAATTCGCTGATTCGCCGAAGAAGGGGAGGGGAGGGGGGAGGTTGGGGGGGGGGCAGCAGGGCGAGGAGGGAGACGGATGTGTTCAATTAGATACGGATACGACATTTACATGCATACATATATATACATTACACATGCATATATATACACACATACACACATATATACATACATACACATACATACATGCATACACAACACACACACACACACACACACACACACACACACACACACAATATATATAATATATATATTATATATATATATAATATATATATTATATATATATATATACATATATAACAATATTATATACATGTATACATATACACATATATACATATTATACATACACACATACATATATACACATACACATGCATGAACATACACGTGCATATGCATATACACATACACATACACATACATAAACTCGCACACACAAACACACACACTTAACTCTATATAAGCGTGACTACCTGTGTGCATGTTTGTATGTTTACATGTATGTCTACTTACATGCACCATTAAAGAGAATGGGAGGCTGGAGAGATTAGACAAGGTTATCAGTACTAGAAGCTGTTTAACGAAAATTATTATAAAACATAATAATCAAAATAAAACGGTCTTCAGAGTTGCTGATGATATAATTTTCAAAGCAAAAGTTGACCAATTGTTGCAAATTTCGATCATATTGCATTACGATAACTATTCCACGTGAAATTACATAAATAAAGGGGAAAAAAAGAAAAAAGAACAAAAAAGAGAAAAAAAAGAAAAAAAAAAAAGAATGTGTACATCAAACGATATAGAATTCATTTGAAACGCTTCATTTGCAATTTGATCAAGTTAATAAAAATGGGATATGGTACCCAACGACTTTCAATCAAACAGAAAGCTTTTTTATTGAAATATGTTACCGTAATTATATTTAATGTTTGGTTATCATTCGAAATCAAAGAAAACATATCAAAAGGCCCTTTATCTAAAGAACTAATGATACAGAATCATTACTATAATTTTGTCATCAAGCATCATGCTACTTAGAATGATTAATACATTTTACTGATTACTGAACATATTCCATATATAATGAACTCACCCTTGCAGAATAATTACATTTTTAGGAGGATATTAAAGGGAACAGGATAACAGTTCTTCAATAAATGACATGCATACACATAAACAATATTTTGAAAGTCTAATCCTCAAAAATTACAAAAAAATTACAGCTTGTCATATTGTATTCTGTAGAAAACTATATCTCGCAATCTATAAACCTGACCATATGTGTGTGTCTGTGGTATGTAATTACAATTTGATAGAAGTCAATTACTGTTGATCATACAATCGTTTGTCTAAGTATTTTGTGTTTTTTAAGTTGAACTCGGGAAATAATGCGTCACAACACACACACACACACACACACACACACACACACACACAACACAAACACACAGACACATACACACACAACACCATACCCACACACACACACACACATACCCGCACACACACCCACAGCCACACACACCCGCAAACCCACCCACCCACACCCACATCAGCATCTTCCCTTCATGAATAATAAATGAAAATCTATGTATGAAATGAAAATATTTCTGGCAAGAAGACAAACGATTCGCAACTAGACATCAAGTCCAGGCATCATACTCAAATACCTTTCATAATGATTCACATAAAAGGTTTGAATGCATTACCTCCCCTAGAGAATGAGCGAAAACCGATTTAAATCTGCAATGGAAAATGATGATTGCTCTTGCAGGAGATACAGAGCAATGGAGTAAGTGCATTGGCATCTTCGCGCATAAAGAGTTATTTCAGAGCAAAATTAATTCATGAATCGGATGTTCGTATATCTAATTTCAGGGGAATTTATGGCCGCCACATAACGAGAAATTAATTCAGGTTTCCAGATTTAAACATCATCAGCAGGAAATGACTTTATCACAATTTACGTTTAGTTCCCGTCGAGTGGGAATTATTATTGGGTTTCTTGTGAGAGTCGGATTGAAGGGGAGACTACTGAAGGATGAATGTTAATGGCGCATTCAAGGTTGTATTCATATGTACACGTACATATGCTCTTGTCGACCGGGCAGACAGAGAGATAGCTACACACGCATGAACGCATGCGCATACATGCAATGAACATAGATAAATATGCACATACATACACTCTCTCCCGCCCCCCTTCTCTCTATCTCTCTCTTTTCTCTCCCTTCTCCCCCACCCT